TCACATATCATTTGATAAATAACTTGTACATAAAAGTCAAATAATTAATATTTATTCACATGTATACTGTTTTTATAATTTTATTTTATTGGTCAAACTTGAAGAATTGTGCCATAACTGTAAATAACACAAAATCTCTAACTGTGGTTTTTACAATTTTTACAACAATTGATAATTAAGAACAATACAGCTGATGTAAGAGAAAAGTGTAGATAAATATAGTAATACAACGCATGTGTAATCTCAAAAAGACAATAAGATATATCGATTCATTCATGCGTAAAAATTAGAATAATATACGTTACTAGAAAAATAAGAATTTACATATAACTATGGCTCATAGTTTACAATTAGATTTAGTAAACGGATAAACTAACGATTTTTCAAGTGAAACAAATAATCATTTGTACACTGTATATTGGCCATTTCTATACTTATATTAACCATGACCGATAAATCAATATCATCATTTGTTTCAAAAACTTCACAAATTACAGCAGCTGCACGAGCCTATGAAACAATGAAAGACAATTATCTATTTCAAGATCCATTTGCAAAACTTTACTCAACAGAAAAAGGTTTTGAATATATTAAATCTGTAGCAGATAATCTTCATACACCGTTAGAAACAAGTGTTAACATGATAGCGATACGTACAAAATATTTTGATGATCAATTGTTGCATGCGATACAAACATGTGGAATTCGTCAAATTGTTATTTTAGCGTGTGGTGGTGATTTTCGACCCTATCGTTTAATATTTCCTGATACTAATGATATTATTAAGTTCTACGTATTAGATTTTGAAGAGGTGATCGACTTTAGAGAAGAATGTTTTAAAAAATTATCTTGTCCACCAACAAATTCATCTGTATTCATAAAAGAAATTGCTTGTGATTTATCTAAGCCATTGTGGCCTAGTATACTTGTTAACAATGGTTTTAAGCCAAATGAATGTTCATTTTGGATACTCGAAGGTCTATTATCTTATTTAGATGAAACAAATATTTATGAACTATTTTCACATATAAAATCTTTATGTTGCAGTAGCAATCCATCGCGTTTAATCTGTGATTTAATCATAAAACAACTGTATAATGACATAGCACAAACTGCTGGATGGGGAACAGCAATTAAATTCGGTATAGATGAGCCGGAACAATTTTTTGAAGGATTAGGTTGTACAAATATACAATGTACAAAAAATTTATCAGTGGGTAAAAGTTATTATCGAGTTCCTGAAGAAATACCGACTTCATATTCAAATACCAATTTCATAAATGCAACTATTTCCAGTTAGATAGTTCGGATTTTAAATATAATTATTTATCTGATAAAATGCAATAAACCATCGTGACATACAGCAGGAACAAAAGAATATCCTAAGACTTATTTGACTGTATTATAAACTCTATTAGGAGCGTTTCGTATAAATGCAAATGCAAAAATCCATTGCAACACTGTTTTCTGGTATTTTAAAGAAAGCTTCAAGCTTTTGTGCACTTAACAAGGTCAGTTTTGGCTTTTATGTCTTTAACTTGAAAACCGTATTATAGATCGAGAAGCTTTTTTCACATACATTTAGAGAATCTTGAGTTTTGCAAAAAGAAGCTTTATAGAAATTTAAATAGTTACAGTAAAGTAGTTAAAAGATTACGGAGATCATACAAGTTCGGATGTTCAATACAAGATCTCTGTTCCAGATTGTTATCAGTAACACATGAGGAAGAAAATATGATGATGAAACACATTTTTCTTACTAATGTATAGAGTCGAGAGCGTCCTGTGAATGAGGTGCTCTGGAACTATGCCGCTATTCTCTGTGCGTCAAACAGGACCGAGAAAGTGTCATGAAATCCGGATTATTAAAATCTTTTTTTAACTCATCCGAAAACTATTCATCAAGAATCCAACATGTCCGAATGAATCATTTACCGGACATCTTGGAATCCGGATGACTTATTTCTGGATGAATTTTCAGTATTCAATCAGCTGGCAATAAATATTGTATATACTTTAAACCAGCCAGGGCGATGAAAATGACCTTAAATATGGTCTGTACATGATCTATATGTGGGTCATTTATTGGTCATTTATGATTTATTTCAAGGTCATTTAAGATCATATTTAGCTCATTTTAAGCCCAGTTATTGTCTCGTTTTTTAACTCTTCTAAGTCCATTTTTCGAGGAGCAAAATATGATCTTAAAATGACTATCGAATTTTGATCATATTTAGGTCATTTATAGCACATTTATGAGTCATTTTAACACCATTTTGCTAACTGTAAATCTTGATCAACTGAGTTGACTATTGAAGAATTTAAAAACCGATTGAAAAAGTCGGATCATTTTACGAAAACATACGGATATCAATATGATTTAAAAGAGAACTATTAAAATTATGACTAGGTATCGTTAAATAATGTTTACATCAAACAATTACAATACGAAAATGTTGTAAAGAGGAAAAAACATCAAATAGAGTCATATGGGGTAATTCCGGCCACTTGCACAAAGTTTCTTAGTATTTTGCGTATTTCTAAGGTGTTTTTAATCGGATAAGTGTGCTAGTGAATATGAAGATAGAACTAACAGTTCTCTATCCGCTGATGTAAAAATCTCCTAAAAAACCCTCTCCGTTTTCGGCCAGTGTTCAAAAGGAGGCAGGGACCTCCAAACCGGCCGGAATTACCCCATGTGGGGTAATTCTGGCCGATAAGCTATTCTGCGTGCGGTAATTCCGACCGGTCCATCCAAATACATGGAGTTTCCTCAAACGAACTTCCGGTACTTTTCAGAAGTAGATTTCTGACATACTCTTCAGGTAAAAGGTATTCGTCATGTCATTACCTACAATATATGTGAAAATTGCATTTCAATAGCTCAAAATCAGCAGGCTCTGTGATCTTAAGTATTTTTATGTAATTTTACACATATTGTGGTAATGAGTTTACACAGTATTTATTAAATATTCTCATTAATTATGAACAATTCATGAAAAAATTTCTATATATATCATAAACTGTACCCTTATGAGTTGAATAAAAGAATGAGACATGAAATTTGATTAAAACTAAGGAAGATAATATTGAAACTAGAGTTAGATGTTTATGAAACAAATATCAAAATACTTACAAAAACTCATTCAAAAACTGATTTGATAGCTTTAATTGTTTAATCGGTACTGTCGTGCGAATGTGATTAAGATAAATACCTAGCATCGCGCACAATACGATATCTCTGTCGTACATATACTACAATAATCAACAATTATAAAACATAAACATTCTGTATAATTTTTTGTAATATTAAATAAAGTAAAATGAACTAGATTAATTAGTAGACAGACAAGAAAAAGAATATAAAGAAAGTTTAATTTATTAATATACAACTGAACACGAAGAAATATTATATATACAAATATATACAACTGAACGTAAAAAAATAACGAAACAGAACGTTATAGCAACAAAGCTGTCCAATGCGAAATTTTGTTGGGGCATCTATAGTAATAATTCAGCGAGACAAGCAGTGGTGTAAAAAGTAGCTCCGATTACTTAAGCGTAGATACAGCTTTTTTCTTTCGAAATCTGACAAGAAATTAGTTTTGATGTTGCCGATCTAATGTTATTATTGGTCTTGGGAGGGAGAGCGACTAGTAAAGGAAGTCGCAGACCGCCGATCAAGACAGAAATGTGTGGTTCAGGACAGAGTAGAATTTCCGGTTAGTAATTACGTAAGCTAGGGTAAGCATCATGTCTGTGAGGTGTATAACGAAAATAGCTCCAGCTCATGGTAAGGGATCATTAAGAAAAAACTGCTTCGGTCAGAAGAAAGTTATACTAGTTAGGGAATGCGCGTCGAAGCAAGCGTCGAAGGCGTGGAGCGAGACAAGCATTGTGTAAATTACTGCGTAATGATTCTTGTTTTATCAAGCTCTTAGCTGCTTACAGTGGTTTCCCATCGATTTCTCCTAGTCTGCTTCGATTTTCCTTTATTTCCATTCAGAATCTCTAGTTTCCTTTGTCTAATTGCACTTTTCTTCGGTTCCCTTGCAGTTTTCCTCAGTTTCCTTGCGGTCTGTCAGTAGTTTCCTATAGTTTCCTAAACTTACGTAGAGACAAACGAAAAACACACCGGGGCACATTTTAGTCTCGGCACCTGGGACTTATCCCCTGTGTGTTAGGGCATAGACACAAGTTATTAGCGGACAGACAAACACACACTTCAAGACATAATACGAGAGTGATTAGAAATAAGAATTAAAGAATTGGGAATGTGCCTCATTTATCTGTTGCCTTGCAAGCACAACGATCATCGTCAGAACTGTCGTAGTACTAGCTTGTTGAGAATGTTCTTCAGAAAGTAATGTGATCAAGAAAGATAATTATTTTATTTTATAGAAACAATTTGATATTGGCGATTCCTTTCCAGTCAAGAGATAAGTGAATCAGAATGACGAACACTACTTGTTTTTTGGTGATCATTTCGATAGAAAGAAATTTGATGATCAAACCCACTTTCCTCCAATTTTTATCATTAACAAGTACAAAATCGATTATAATTAATAAACGTTTAATCTGAAGCATTAGACGAAAATTGGATGTCATTTTATGTACAAAAATATGTATACAAAAATAATAAAGATGATATTGATGAAGAAAATCGAGTAAAACTGCGTGAATATGATTCGACATTTTATTCACATTTGAAAACTGATTTGTGGATACCACTACGATTAACCGACGTTTGAGCGACCGACATTTGAGCGACCAACATTTCCAAGAACGATATGAAATCCGAGAGAAGTTATGTGGTGAATAGTCATTATACGATCCAGTTACACATGTACAGTTTCGCATGATGAAAAGATGTTTCGTGTGGAACTGCTTTTCGAACTCACTCTCACACTACCCATATCCCCACCTCTCACAGCATACTGCCAAAAATACCCAAATGTGTACTACGAAAAATACGTGGAAGAGTCGAGTCCTGTTCCTAATGTCGGTCGTTCAAATGTCGGTCGCTCAAATGTCGGTTGACGACTATACCCACCGAAGAAAGTTTACGTTAGAACACAATTAATTGAAAAATTATATCATCAACATGTGTCATACGTTTATGCTGATGTGAATGAACCAAGTTTATTTACAACTGACTCAGGTAACAGTTTCGTGTCTAATAGGTGTTTTATCCACCACGATTTAGTTTGAGGATATTCGACAAAAAAATAAACTAGGTGAAAAATTAAAGACTTCTTCCCCCTTTTTTAGTTCTCTTTCGCAGTGTTAAGCCATCTGATGCTGTTACGTTGGTCTGATCTCACAATGAATGAAACAGATTGCAAACACGGTTTAAAACATGCTTTATTTCATACAATGCTTTCTCATATGTACTATGTCTATGAGTATTTATATCGAAACATAAAAGGTGAACTAGAACAACTGACTGATGAAAAACCTGTCATTCTTGTTCCCGTACAAGTAGCGAAAACTCCAGAGAAAACTCTCAATAATAATGGTATCGTCCGTGGTCTATTTGTTCATAAAAGTGAAGTTTGTTGGCATGATCCTTCTTTCATATCATCTTTATGTGAAAATAATGATAATGAATTATGTCGATTTATTATATTAAAACCATTTTATTCTAATTTACAATATTTACTTTTGAATGTCTTTCAAGTATCAATTGCACCAATAATCGAAGAATATGTTGCACTGCTAGTTTATATTTCTCACCATAATACTGGTCGTCTAACAAAAGTAATAATTCAAGATGATGTTGACCAATATATAAATATATTCGTCAACGTTGTTTTTCTACAAGGAATGAAATGATGTACCGTTTCTTCAATTATCAACAAATCGTTCAAATAACGAAAGTAAAGCTATGCTAAAACAGTTATTTCTACTTTTCATCATGTTTTTTCTACTGTAGATCAATACAACGAATTGCATCGTGATGTCTGAACATTTTTCAATTTGTGCAATGTTAAAAAATTATCCGATGTTTTATTGATTGAGCATATAACAGAAAATCTATTAGAAGCACCTCGAATACAAAATTTTCTCTCATCGCTCGTGCCCTGTATTCAGATGTATATGAGTGCAAGACCCGAATTTCAAGCTGTCTATGAATGGACTAAAACAGCAAATCTACAAGAGAAATTATTAAATATAAAGATGTATTTAGTCGATCGTCTCGACCCAAACACACTTCATTGATAACCGTAACGTCATCAGAAAAATGTTGTTCAATATTGTTAGATAAACATGGCCTGGAAGTTTCCGTTCAACATGATTATAGTGAACGTTTATGTCAACGTTTTTCGAGAATATTTGTTAACCAAATAACAAATGTATTTAAAAGGAGTAATACGAACACAAATGTAGTGAGAAATTTAGCTAATTTTATGATATTATTAAATGAAGAATTAAAAGAAAATGTGTTTAATATTCAATCATTTGCCAAATATCAACATTTTAAATTACAATTGAAACACGGTTAGTTTATGCCAAGAAGAGAAATAAAATTTCAAACAATTCAGCAACAATCAAAAGTTGGTACGTTGATTCATTTCGTTTCTCTTTTAGAAAACTGTACTGAGTATAACATTTTTTATTTGCAGGAAGAAAAAGTTCGTACACTGCTGGAAAATATTGCATAAAATCAAGAACAATATCAAGCTTTTAGAAAAAGTCAACAAGATAAACGTTTACAACAACAACAAGAACAAAATGATAATCAAGATAATAACGTTCAAACAGCAGAACCTATTCATTCGTGGCCTCCTGTTACTATGTCATCAAATATTTGTGCTGCTGTTACTCAACCGAAAATCATAATGACAGGATTAGAAGAAGATGAATGGCTACAGCGATCACAAAATAGTTATAATCAACAAATATAATCATCAAATCAGCCAAGTGTTTCTAATAAGCTATAAAAACTTTTTTCAGATGAAGAATTTATTGAACTATTCGAGTTATTAGTTTTGTATAATTCAATTTACCGGGTTTTTTTCTGATTCAACTTATTATTTCTTCAAATATGAAATATCCTTTCTTGCTGATCACACAGAGTGGGCATCCAGGGGGACATTTAATGAAAAATCGAAAAGATGCTTTTCCAAATTTAATTAGTGTCATCTATACTTTAAATTAATGGCCTTCAATTAAAGAGACTCAACACACATCAGTTCATCGAAGAATGTGTAAAAGATAACACTATACGTCACGAAGCACGAAGTTCACTAATTTATTTTATTTGAAAAAAACTGTACATAATTATTCTTTGTACAAGACATAAAAAATGATTCGATTCTAATTTTTTTCAGCTAAATTTATTAGAGCATTCTTTAATTCTGGTAATGTTAATTTGACTTTCTTTTTATTACTTTGTCCATCATCATCTAGTTTGTTTTCTTGTTCATTTATTTGTTCAATTGTAGAGAGCCATGGCTGAATTTTTTTATTCACTTGATCATACAACAACACTAATGAACCATCTGTCGGATGTATATTTCCAAGTAATATTTCTAATTCATCACAACTGAAAATAAAAATTAAAAATTATTTCAAAAATGTATTTGTAGACGAGTTAGAAGAGAAACAAATTTATACTATTCATATCAGTCCAATGCTGTTCGAAATATGTGTCACTTACATTCCATTATGTTGTGGTTGACAACAATAAGATGTTGTTAATGGTAAATTTTGAAATAAACGTTCGTCAAGAATCCAAGCAATATCTAAGCGTATTGTTTTTGTTGTCCAATACAGTGTAAACCTAGAAATCGAATAAATAAATCTTTATAAACAGTGTAAACAAATAAAAATGCATCAGATTGCTCACGCACTTATCGTCATCTAATTTAGAATTAAACGATTCTAAACAACTGCCTAGTGTACGATATAAATTGTTTGCAATCATTCCATATTGAATTAATTTTCGTATCAACTAAATCATAAACAAGATAAAGTCAAAAATTCTTAATGTTGTTATTTCCATGAACTTATTACTGTGAAGCTAGTTTTTAATGAATCTGATGGTGCTATATTCCAGGATGTTATTTCCTTTTTTAATAACGAATAAACAAATTGCATTAACTTATCTGAATGATCTAAATGCGGAAAAAAAGATGATAGAAGAGTTTAGAAAAATAAACATCAATTCAACCTATTCACCATCATTAACAAAGGTTAGTTTCTGTTGTACATCCTTTTGTTTCATTGTTGTGTCAGCTAAATATGTTGCCCATGTTGAGATATTTCCAATATTCGAACAAACAAGTTGTAAATGGACAAGATCATGAAAAAAACCGAGTACAATTGAATCCATTTGACGTTTAAGAATTTTACACTCAACCGCTCTAAAGTTATTATAAAAATTACCAATGCTGTATAAAATAAAATAAATGAAATAGTGTAGAACATACTGTAATCGATGTGCATAACTGGCATCATAAAGTGACGTAACAAATTGACGAAAATTTTTTGTCGTTTTGACAGATTGATGGGATAAGTCGACTAATTGAAAAATATCTCTGAAACGTTAGAAGAAAATGAAGTATTCAAGAGAAAAACTCTCTTCAACTAAAAATCCAATTTCTGATGTACTAAAAGTTATCTCATGTATTTTGGTATTAGGATTATTTGGGCACAGAAAAAAAGTACAATGGTACATACTCGGTCAATTGTTTTTCAATCTTACAGTATTCTTTGTAAACTAAAAATAGACAGAACGAAAATATTCGATAGTATTTGTCCAAGAAATAGAATGTACATACTATTGGCTTGATTTTTAACGTCATGTTTAAATTTTTGTATTTCATTTTCAATCGGTTGTAAATTTTTATCATCATTATTCACCATTTGTCCTTGTAACTGATCAATAACATTGGTTAAACACTTTTCAATTATTTGATCTAAACAAAATTCCGTTTTTATTATAATTTTCTCCATTAATAAACAAAATGTTGGTTTATCAAGTGTTTGTTTCTAAAAGAAAAAAGAAAAATATTTATTTAAATAAGTGAGAAATACCAGCGAACATACCTTTACAGAATCAAACAATAATTGATGAGGATTCTGGAGAGTTGGATCATGACGATATTGGTCAACTTTTGTTTGCAATCTAAAGAATAAAGTCACTACGTATAGAATCCAAGATTTCTTTTACAGACACAATATGAGATCGTAAAAAATAGTTTTCCGTCAGATTTTTTTGAAGAAAAAGTTGAAAAGACAAGAAGAGTACTTTCTTGATGTTTCAATTTTTTTGTAATGTATATTCATTTTTGTACATTTTTTCTGTTTACTGCATATCGTGACTGATTTACTACTGTTAGATTACGAATAGGTCGATGTCTCTGAATCATACATTGATCCACTACTGTACTATCATCATAACAGAAAACAACATAAATAGCAAGAAAGATACACACACACATATATATATATCATCTACACGATCTTTTTCAAAACCAGCGTACTCAACAAAGGACCTCTTGGAAGCTTTCAAAGGTAATGAATCATTAAAAGTAGGCTTTTCTTCAAAATTTTTTAGAAATTTCAGAACGATTCTCATCCTTGCTGATGGAACTGATCAAAATTTCTCCGAGCGAACACAGACCAGTACCAACTATGATACATATGGCGAATCATCAAAATGAAAAAGTAGGAGAAAAGCAGAGGTATTAGCAAACTGAGTATGTTTATTAGCTCGGAACTCTGAACTTTGTTGGATGAACCATTTACTATATAATAAATCCAAAAGTTTTATTTATGCACCTTCACATACTGAACTAATCTTACTTTTTATTTTGTTGTTGTAATATTTTGTAAATTGCTTGTAATTGAACATACTCCATCGTACGTAATTGATCCATTACTAATTTGTTATCCTAAATCGAAAACAATATTAAAAAAAATTGGCTGTTTTTCTTGGACAAACACTTGACGCAGCTTACATCGACCGTAATCAGTTTATTTGTTGAACCATTAAAAACATGTTTTTGCTCATCTGGTATCATATGTAAAATTGAATTTGTTATTGTATCGTTTCCGGCTACCGGTTTAGTACGCTTAATTGGTGAAAAACGAACAGCTAACTTTATTTTTATTAATTAAAATAGTAACAGATATACTTACAAATTGATTATACAATTCGAGTATTTCGGGATTAAAAATAGAAACAAGATTATCTACAACAGAAAATAGTAGTAGTAGTTAATGATAAACTAAACGTAATACAAAGTTCTCAGCTTTGATCACCATCTATATTGTTATTCTACTATCGTTTTCAAGTGAGTAGTGAATTTTTAAATATTGGCTGACAACAGGCGGAAATTCCTAATTTTCGAAAAACTTGGCTTCCGCTGCTAGGTTTTAAATTCTTTTTCTAAAAACAAATAGTGCCACGAAACTCAGCATCATTGATTACCTCTAGTCCACTCGTTTTCGACGGTACCAACACCCGCAGAGTACTAGTCATGGAGCTCAAAGGAGATTCAACACTATACCCAAACCACTGAAAATCAAGATCTCGCTGGACTCGTATTTCGAAGAGGACACCCTGGAATATCAATTCATAAAAAAACACAGTATAATCTTATTGGAAGTTTCTGAGACGCAACCAGGTTTTTCATAGAAATCTATTCTAACAAATCTTTCTAAAAGGATTTCTGCTGATAGTAACAAGCTTCCAAGTTCCCTCCTTCGAATGGTAAAAACCGCAAGTCTCTATCTCATTCCTACCAAAAACTATTCAAAAAACAACTAGGGCTCTTACAATTTGAAAAGGATAGTAGCACCTATCTCTCAAGCAGATGGATGATCTGAATAAAGAAAGTTATGAAATAAAGCGTTTTACTCACTGAATTTTACTTTTAAATCAGATATTAAAAATTTTGTGTTCTGATTTTTGACGGTTGTTTCTGTCGACGTCTCATCCTTAACTGCTGATGAGGATGTTGTCACCGAATCAGTTTTTGTCAATGTAAATTTTTTTAAATTGTTTTCATCTGTCAAAAAATCAGATAAATTATTTCGTTTATTTGACGATATTTTGTTGATCATATGCACATTTTTTGTTTCATCTTCATGTAAAAACGGTAGTTTTGGTTTAATTCCATGTAATTTCTTTGAATCGATTGTATACAAGCAGGACATGTTGAAAAAATCTTCAAAAACAGAAAAAAATTCCTAATACATTCGCAACAGAAACAAAAAAAAGAAGTAAACGAATTGATAATTTTCAACTAAACAAGTATTTAATACATCACAGAAGCTTCTTTGTTCGCCAATTAGCAACAATAAGTTCCCTTTTGACAACTACTTGTGTCTCTGTCCTATGTGCAATAATGCTAAAAGTATCAAGTGCAGCAGGATTATCAACAGGACTAAAAAATAGATGAAATACTCAAAGTGCGTCTTCCAGTAGTTGATAAAGCCAGGAGAAATATGACTTTCAATGTACTGCTAAGTATAACTCGATAGAGAAACAATGAAACTTAATCAAGCCTCGAAAAAATCAGCTCTTACACTTCTGATTCCCTTCAGGGCGTGACTGAATAAAAAGCTACTTAAAATTATTCATTTTGACATAGAAGTGAATTAAGGATTCCGCAGTAGAATGCATTCTAAAAGAAAAAAAATTCAGCTTTAGCCAGCAGACTTTGTTCTGGAACTTTTTATTTAATGATTACTGCATGTATCATCAAAGCTATTTTCTTTTTCTCAAGTACTTCGAAAAAGTGTAAATTTACTGTTGCTTCGACGGAACATCGATTCTTCATTTGTATTTTATTGTTCCATGTTGTTATCAAGAGTACAAAGCCTTTGTTTCGAGCCAAAATAAACTACTGGACGAAGTCTTGGCCAACCATAACAGTTATCAAAGCAACTATTTTGTCGGAAAATGAGTGACATCTTATGTCTTAAGAACTAGGTGCACTAAACGATAAGGATATAATACACTAAATCTAAAAATGACTCTTAAACTAAGTTCTATTGCATCCTAACAATGGCATACGACCAAAATGACACAAAACAAGTGAATTTTTCGGCTAATATAGTGTCCTTATTCAGAGTAGTATGTTATATGTACGCAGATCACAATTACTTTCCGAATCATTAACTTTACAACTAAACAAGAGTTTAACCTAATACGAAAAAGCACTTTTTCTCGACTCTGTATCAACTTTATTTTTTTTCTTCACGTTGGTATGGGTGTTATTAGGTGCACACATCATAATCGATGTTCATAGCCGAGGACGTTTTCGTACAAATAATTTGTAAATTAAATAATTTTCATCAATATTACAGATTTATTTTATACATAATAATTTGTTGAACCACAATATACAAGCAATGTTTGATTTAATAATAAATTAACAACAAGGTACAAGTTTGAAGTAAAAAGAACAAATAATAATAACATCAATAAATACGCTCAGTTTTCTATCGATTCTAATTATTATTTTGATGATGGTAGCGGTATTAACGTAGATAATGAATCATTGTTACATGAACATTGTCCATTGAAAAATTTTTATTCAAATAGAAACGTATTTTCTTTTTTGCAAAAAATAAATAAAATTTTTCTTGATAAAAACGCCAATTCAACATAATTCTAGATTCGATTTGATCGGACATTTTAATTTTAGTTCAGTGAAAAATAATAAAAAAATTTTATTCAATTTTTTCAATGAGTACTTCTAATTCTTTAGTAATTTTAATTGTATCTACTAGTTCAATCTCCGATAATATTTAGACAAGTATGAATTGAAATTAAATAATTGTCAATATTACGTTTAACAATGAACATAACAAAAATAACACGTATTATATTTCCTGTATGACTAAATTAAGACTGACGTATCGAACAATAGATGGTCATGCAGCCTTCTTCATCACACGACAATCCGGATTGATTCTGTTGTTGGAAGATAATAAAAGTTTTCCAAAATAAATAATAAATTCAGTCTATTTCAGAATTAAAACTATTATTGCCGCCTAAAAAAAAATAAATAAAAATAATATTCCTTTGGCTGAAAGGACAGGGTCTTCAAAACAGGGTTATCGTTTTTTTGTCATGCGTACATTTAGTACATAGATGTCGGATTCGCGTAATAAAGGTGCGAATTTTATGGACCAATATGGAAAAAAACCGTACGTTTAACGTGGTTGTTAACAAGGCATCAACGTATTAATGCCGATGACGGGAAAAAGGTACACTTAATGTGACTGCACGTGAACAATCTGCGGATAATACGACCTGTCGTGAACAAAAGGTACGCTTAATGTGACTATACTTCATGAAGTGAAGCATCTTAGTTGAACGCTGATCAAGAGACGGCGGGAAAATGAGTTTCTGTCGCTAGTATTTCCACTATAGCCTGTTTTACTCGCCCATTTTTCTCACGCTTATCCTTCATAAACCGTTTTTGTTGTCTAATTTCTTTTATAGTCCGTTTATCGCGTCCGAGTCCCATTAGATAGTCCATTTTTTTCGTTCGATTTTCATTGTAACCCATTAATCGCGTCTGATTTACTTTAGAGTCTGCTTTCTCGTCTAAGGTTCGTTTTTCTTGTCAGATTCTTCTCATAAACAGTTTTTTCGTTCGATATCCATTACATAGTGTTCACAGTTTATTTTGAGTAGTTTTCTTTGACTGAGTGCGTTGTTATATTATGTGATTATATATATGTTTCTAGAACATTGTGTTTCATATTGAATCTTTGGCTATCACTCAGCATAGCTAGACAATATTTTCAGTCAAGAGATCTGTACAGTACTTGCTGCGCCTTACTTGTATATAATTATATTTTTCAATCAAATTATTGTAGTCAATAAACGATTATGCTTTTCTTTATACAAAACTTTAAATAATAAATCGCTTAGGTAACATTTCCATGATGACCTCGTCCTTATTGATAGAAAACAAAAGAACAAAATTAGAACATGCTGTATTTACATTGACTTGTGGTAAATCTTTCTCAATATCTAACTGATCAATTTACTTATCTTTCTCTGAAATGTGATCAATGTGTTAATTTTTAATATTTATAATTTTAAAACATTATTTTTGTTTTAATAACATTAAACAAATAAATGATCATCGATCGTAGTCAACAGAATGTGGATAATTTTATTTGTCATATTGTCTGTTGTTCTAACTTTCTTTGCGATTTCCTCGATAGTGTTCTCAGTCATAAGAGCACATTCATATTTCAACGTCAATGCCAATATCGTTCAACAGCCTGCATCTTTTCGAAGTAATACTGTACGTCAACAGCAACAAGTTCGATCATCCGCATCAAATGAAAAGAGACGACCGCATAAATCCCATAAAAATGAAATTTTATTGAATCCAGTTAAAATTAACCAATTACAATATCACAAATACGGTATTCAATGGAGATCAGATAAATACGATCAAGAAAAATCATTATTCGAGTGTGATGTTTCGGTTACACACAAGGAAGATAATGATGATAAAGTTATTTCCTCGAGTTCACCAACTAATACAATGACAAATAAAATTGATGGTAATCAATCGCCAACGAATACTAGTCTATTGATGAATAATACATTACAAACGGATGATTCGAATTCAATATTATCCATTACACACGATGGCACATACCAAACAGCTTATTCATCAATATCCTATTGCGAATATCCAGAAAAAGAAACAACAGATAAACATATTATGAAAAATGTAGATAATGAATATGATAGAAACCGATATCGGTCAATGAGTGTTTGTGACAATATGGAATCTCATCAAATTGAAGAATATGATAAAATCAATGGTTTATTAAACGAATATGAAAAGGGTGATTCATCCATTAGTGAAAATACATTAACTAATAGTGTAAAAGATTTAATTGAAAAATTTGAAAAGAATTCAAAACATAAATTATCATCGATAAGAGTCAACTGGACAAATAGAAAAATAACATACAAAAGTCATTCAAAGCAAACTTCGAATAAAATAAAGTAGGTGGCGTTTACTTCCTTCCCACGTGTATATTATCTGCAGAAATTGAATATGTTTAAGAAACAGATTTAGAATCAACTTTTTTCCTCTATTAAGTCAAATAATCTTTTTCATTTTTCAATTGAGATAGTCAGACAGCAGTCAATATTGATACTAGAAATGACAGAAATTTCGATATCATAACATCTAAACCTTAATTTAGTTCAAGCACAAATAATTCAGAGAATGAAATTGAATTAAATCAAAATTATTCTATTACACATACGAATGAAAAATCAATTACCAGTAAGAATTTAGGCTCAACTAGTATGGAACGAGAATCACGTCTCATAAACAACAATTATAAGAATGTGAAAACTCTTTCAATTATACCTAAAAGTGCTCCTAATTTAAAATCATATAATGCATCAATATCTGATCTTAATGTCACCATATCTTCGAGTTTATTGTCATCAACTAAAATTGGATCACAACAATTGTTTGTTTCATCGATGGCATCATTATCATCCAACATAACATAAGTAAATATTTAAATTAGTTTTAATTCGGTTTTATTGATTGAAAAGCTGTTTTATTATTTGAAAAGTATTTATCGATTTGAAAATTTGTAGTTATCATTTTATATTTTCTTCTATAATTTCAAAATAGAAAGATCATTTTTTGTAGGATATCATATTAGAGTTTATTATCATAGTTTTGCGACGGTGTGAAAGCTAAAATTTTAATAGACAACTGCAGAGAAGAAAAAAAACATTCTTCGATTTTGGAAGTCGACCACATGTGTCAGTGGTTATCTAGACGCCTGAGCTGCGAATTACAGTGTAATCTCAATTTTTCTCAATGAATGAGTTTGTCAAACCATTACGGAGAGTAGAATTTCTAATTGGTTAATGACCAATTTTGGATGAAGATTTAAATTTCAAATTCAAAAAGACCTTCAAGACATATCTAATATAAATGTCATATATGTTTACAGCGTTAAACAAGTAATTCCAAACCAGTGGTACACTTTTGAGTCGAATGTCTGTTATTTATATCATATCACACCGAGTTTGATAAAAAAAAGTTAAAAAAATAAATATATCGCACAATTATTGTGTACAAAAAAACATCAAAAAAAAACGCTAACTGTAACGAAGAAATTAAAATGACAGTTGAACGCAAGAAACGACTCTAAAGTAAAATAAACAATAATCTCAGTACAAAAGGACCTGTACAAGGATTTATTGAATAAAAGTTTTTAAATGAGGAAAAGAAATGTACTCAAATAAAAAGCACTCGAAATAGTCGATTATTTAAAGTCGACGAAACGAAATCAAAACGTTTAAATGAATTGCACCAATTGAACATATTCTATTTTCTAATCATGCTGCCTCAGCCGTAAATGCAATTACATGACTTCTAAGAGAATCATGAGGTCCTGTACCAACCAGTGCTGAATCAATACATTCAACCGCTCTGATAAATGAGTCTGTTGTGTAGAAATCTCCTCCCTCGCCCGTGTACCTCATCATTTCTGTATTAGTCATGTTTACTTGCTCATGACCGACAATGAAATTTTCATGCATAATTTTATTTCCACCTAACCATTTTAGTTCCCGCATTATTCCAAATAATCTGGTTGTTCACATACATACTTGTTAAGTAAATGTTACGATAGATAATGTAACCCATACGGACCATTTTCTAACGAATTAATTACTTTTATTCTAGCTGTATTGCTATCGTCATCATCATCGTCGATATTACAAGTAACAGATACTGGTCAAACAATTGTCAGTGCAGGTAAATAGATCTTTTTCGCTGAATATGGACATTTTTCTTCTACTGAACAATGCAAATATTGATATTATGGAAATTAGTAATACGTGCTAGTTTACATTCAAATTGAACAAAAATAGCTGACTATAGCGATCTAAATCAAAATATTGCTCATAGAATTAATACACAATCTATATCGATCATCAGCACACTCTAGTTTATTTTCTTTTTGTAAAATGCATTAATTTTTCAAAACTCGCAATTTATGATCAAACAAGCGTTTATCAGCTAATGTAACAATACCAAAATGTTCAGACTAATAGATCGCATAAGTTGAATAAACGGTTCCTCGATTACCACAACCAAGTATAACATCAGTCACACAATGGAACGATGCTACACTATTATTTATTTTTGTCAAAGTTGAGGACAATACAGTGATGTTTAATATAAATCAGAAGATTAGAATAGATAGTTGGGCCTTGTAAACTTTTAATAAAGACATTTTTTGCTGCTTTACATTACAAAGCTAAAAAAATACATGTCTATTTTATCATAACGATAATGTTTATCAGAATAATGATTCTTTATACGCCCGTTCACACGTTTATTAAGTAACAGTTTATTAGAACTAGTTCAATGAAGAATAAGAAAAAATGTATAACAATACAACAGAGCAAAAAACAGTCAAGAAAATTGTCATTTTAGCAATAATATAAAAGTATCATCAAATTTGCATAATAGTTGTATGGTAAAGAGAAGTCGTATTTAGTGCGCTAGATGTCAAGACCATTCAAACTAAAAGCATAGATTAGCAGACTGCATAAAGAACGATCCCATGCAGTCATTTTAACAAGTAAAAAGTCTTTGGCCATCAACAAATCATCATCTGTCTCATCTAAAATATTCAAAACACAATGTCAGTTATTAATCGAATAGCCTAAACAATAATTTCAACAAAAAAAAACTGATGCGATGATATACTATGTGCAGATAGATAGTATTAACGAATTATATATACTATTTTTGATATAAATGCTAATTATCAGGAGGTATCGGTAACTACAAATAGAACCTATGATCATGCAATAAAGGATTAACTTACATCATATATAAATTATTTCTTTCAATTCTTCCAGTTCTTGTTTATTTATTTACCATACATGTTTTTGAACACCAAGTTCTTTTTTCTTTTGCTATTTCGATTGTATTCTTTCCCTAATTTGTTTAACATAGCGAAAGCAGATGAAGATTGATAACCTTTTTTTGGCTGCTATCAAAGTGAGAAATAGTATCTTTGTAGTATTGCGCAATGATTTGATAATAAATTTTTGTGATAAATGACAAACATTGTACCGTTGTATGCAGCATTTTCAATAATCTATAAAAAAAACAATGTGACTGGTAAAAAACATATTCGTGTGAACATTACGAATTTTTCAGTCTACGTTAAATCAGTGATTTGTACGAACGTAAACAACGTAAATAATATGGTCTCAGATAGAACTCTGATTTCAGAAATACTGTTGCAAACGAAAATGTAGTGCATTTTCAAAGTACCTATCGAACAATTCAAGATGGTACCTTTCGCAAATGCTCCACTTTTGTTTCTATTTCAAATTATCACTGAAAATCTGATGACAATACAACTGTCATGATCAAAGTTATTTACTTTTAAAGGACAATTTGATTGAAGTGCAACAACTCAAACCTTTTACCTAATCATCATTGACCACATACTAATAAGTCAGAGATATACGTTTTCGAATAATAGGACACGAAAATGAAAAGCAGCTTTCTTTGAAAAACATCCCGAAAACAGGAAGACGTAAGTCGTCGACGAAAACATTTTAATAAAACGACTGATATTTCCACGTCTACTGTTTCGTATTTCTTTGTTCAATGCACTTTTTTAAAGAAGTGTATTGAGCAAAGAACAGTATGAGAATAGTGCTTTGCTTCATGTTTGTCAGTCTTTTGTTTCAATTCTGGGTTGATCAGCGAAAATGTTCGATGTATTTTATAAGTGCGCGAGTTTGACTAATGAAAAAGTGAGATATAATTGCTAAGTGCGGCTGAAAGATGTCACTCTTGTAGTCATCAACTGAAGAATAACTATTATTTTCATACAGCAACCGCTGAATTTAGTGAGTTAAATATGTGAGTAAGTTTTGGATGAGATACCTTTCTTCATCACTTGTTATAACAAACAGGTAATGCGGTTCGTATTCTTTTATTAGCACATACTTCTTTTTTTTGTCAGAAAAGCAAATAAAAAATGTATCAATGTCTATTAGTATCATCCATATATAAGTTATTAATCTAAAGGTGTGACTATTATAAAGATATATTTTACGCTATAATACAAACGAAAACGTTTTTTTTATATACAATGTATCAAATTATATTATTCCTGTTCGGTATCTATCCTGCTTTGTCTTTGACAATACCAGCAACGGATCAGCAACAGAATTACTACTCAACAGAACCGTACACAAGTGAAGGGCAGACACAAGAACTAACATCAACTATAAGTATTACACCATTAAATTGTAGTGACGCATCTGGTGGAGGATATATATGGCCAAGTGACAGTAGTTTTGTTAACAGACAAGTGACAAATGTTTACGACGCTTATCCGTCCGATACTGTCACTATAACTATAACGGGAATTAAACAAGATGAACAACGGGGCTATGCGGCTGATGCTATTATCAATCCCAACCTATCAAATAGTTTTCTGCTGCGAGCCTTGGCAAACCCGTCAGGAAATGGTAACTATTTTGAAAGTACTACGAGTTGATTATCGTCTCTTTTCTCGTTAATCTGTAGGACGAGTATATACCATTTATTTCCAAGCGCTAGCATCGATTGCTGGTAATTGTTCAGGAATAGTTCAGGTAGGCGTTCCAGTTAGTTTACCATTAGCAGATAACATTACTGATGATGGTGCACTTTATGTATCCACGGGAAATAATCCATCGGCCAGCGGCTATGGAAGTTATTATGATTAAACCTTATTTATATCCTGTGAAGTAGTAATATTCCAGCCTAAACAAATAAACATGTGGTTCCTCTTTTGCTTAAAGATCAGTAAAAAATGATAAAGCAAGAGAAAAATGATAAGCAAAGAGATCCAACCAAGCTTTGGTGCAAAAAACATGCTAATAAGCCATTTTTATCATGTTCTTTCAATTTGACGTAATACCAATTAGTATAAACTAATAGTTTCACACTTTAGTTCTTTGTTTATCCAAGCAACTTTTATACATATGTATTCTTTTCTTTCAATCAATTGGTCTTTTCCGTCGACTCATAAGGAAGGAAAAAAGTAGGAGAAAAAAGTAAAAACATCTGAAAAGATGTATGAAAATTTCTGAACGATCAAATTCTACAATGCAACAATTGAAAATAACATCGTTGTTAGAAGTTTTAACAAAGACAGATAAAAGTTTATCAAAACAGGAAACATTACAAATCCTACATTGTGATTCTCAAGGCGAATGTTGATTTAAAGATTTCATTTTAGAATTGTTTTGATGGTATAATCAATACCATGCAAGATCACAGCCAATAATACTTAAATCATCCATGATTTAAGTATTATTGGCTGTGATCTGCCACTTTTACTTGGTACTTAGTTTCCGTATGTATTTTCTCTTCTTTCTCGAGTTAATCATACAATGCTTAGATCTTTTTAAAATAGTTTAAACGATTATATGTGATCGTCTATTGTAGATTATTATATTGCATCTAAGACTTTTTCAAGATTTGATGAGACTCTGTTAGGAACTTAATAGTGAGAACTATTATGTTTTTTAATAATATTCATTCACGACTCACTACACTGAAAAAAGAGGTGAGTTTTTGGAAAAAATGCACTTCAGCCGCCTTAAAAGCAACCTCATTTTTGATACATAAGAAGATACTTCCATCTAAAAGACGCTTCATGAGGCCTTATGAAGGCGCCTGGATTTCAGTTTTATGCACCTATAGTATCTACGTGAGACATTGTGGATGGATAGTCGAAGCAGCTTGGATGCGTTCTTCAATGTAAATTAGATGCATCTCGCTGTCTTTAAACCATCTAGGATACATTAAGTACGCTGGGATCTCACACAAAAGCAGATTGCTGTCGAAAACGTGCAAAAAAGAGATGAATAAGTCCATCTAGAATGAACAAATAGGATAGAAAGAATGTTAGTTTCCCTTCTTGGATATAGACAGTATAGGAAAAGAGGGCTAAATTGCTTGTTAGTGATGGGATTTTTAACTTCCAAATATATGAGTGTATGTATGCAGCGAATGGCCAAACTACCGTTTTTAATTCGGTTTTCGGATCTAACGGGTGGACCAGAATAAATGTCGCATTTTTGTTCTTTGTTTTGAAGACACTTTCCAGGGGTACAAAGAGTTGGTTCTAGGCTCAATCGATAGAGTATTGAATTCTCTAGAAAACCTGCTATTTGAATCTCTGACAGCATTTTTCTCGTTTGAGCAACATTCAAAATATTGAAGGATGCTGAGTTGTCGAACTGCGATACACTGAAAATAGAAAAACATGTACCTTGATCCAACAAGAGCTTTCATAAGAATTTTGAAAATATCAGAAGGTTCACTGGGAAATTCTGCATCTTCTCACATATTTTTTGAAATTTTGTAGTTAAATCTTCTAGAGAAATTTTTCTGTGCAAAAAAACTGATAACTCTTCAAAAAGCTAACTGTTGAACCTATTTTTAACAGACTTTACTTTTTGGACTATAAAAGCAGTAAAACGTTCTGAATCCAGGGTTTTAGTCTGATTATCTCATACAGAATTAAATTCTGCGTCTTTTGATATATAAACAAAATTTCTCAATTGAAACCATTAATTACAAAAATTAATTTAATTTAAAAAATTGGAAAGCCGATTGAGAACTAGTTATGATTCCAGCTGACGTAGTGAAAACATTGTAAATGAGTGAGATCGATAGAGCGCAAAATCCTCTATCTTTCTGCGTAGAAAAATTAACTATTGAATACCAGAGAATGGGCCAAAAATCTAAAAAGACGAAACGACTTCAGTGTGTCGCAGTTCGACAACTCAGCGCCGTACAATATTTTAAATGGTACTCAAACAAGAAAAATGCTCTCAGAGATTCAAATAGCAGGTTTTGTAGAGAATTCGATACTCTATCGATTGAGCCTAGAACCAACTCTTTGCACCCCTGAAAAGTGTCTCAAAAACAAAGAAGAAAGATCACGTTACGACATCGATTTACTACAATAGTTACCCTAGTAAAAATACTCATCTATGAGTACGACTTTACCCACGATTCGTCCATGAGTACTCATATGAGTTCTACTAACAATTTTTGAGTATTGTTGCTCAGTGAGTACTCAGAAAATATTCATTCACTATTGTATTTTGCCAAAATGAACCTGTATAAAGACCGTAGGATTTAGTAAAGAAATATAGAATATTTATATTATTTTTTTCTCACTGGGCTCTCTGTAGATAGTCAAAGATGGACTCGTCTCTGCATAGACTTGTAGTCCAACGCTAGCTGCCTGAGATCACTCCTTTATATGAAAATACTAGATGAGCAATACTCAGGAGTATTTTGCAAACGTTATATGAGTATTCAACAATACTCAAGCATGAGTACTCAAAGTCGTAGCCATAATACTGATTATTCATTCACTCATGAGTACTCATTCCTAGTCCACTTTCCCTGATGAAGTCCCTGATGAGTCCCCAAAATAACGTGAAATGCCTAGGGAGTTCGCAGGGATTCCTTGTAAAATTCCTGGTGGCTCGCTGATTTTCAGGGAGTGGGGAGAAATAATGAAGTCCCTGGCTATTCATGGGTGACTCTCCAGAGATTTCTTAGGAGGAATGTACAACATATTCACCGTTTTGTTTGGCGCCTGCAGAAGTATATAAAACGTGAAAAATTTTAACAGGAACATCTCTTTTGTTTAGATTAATTTCTGTCTTTTTTAGATTAGTGTAGCTGCTTCCGCCTGAGACTTGTCGACGTTAACTCGTGGTTTCGACATGAGTTAACTTTTTAGCCGAGTGACTCGTCCACTGGACGAGGCCCACTGGGGACATCAGGTAAGAAAGAATTTGGGAAAGAAAGTCGTACTTTTTCTTATATAAATTAAATTTCAATTTGATCAATATAAAGAAAGCTAAATTACACTTAAAATTGAGCGAGCACAGGAGTCGAATTCAGCATTTATTCGTTTTTGGGAACTCACTGAGAAATCCCTAGGGACTCCCTGTGGAATCCATGTCGTGATTCTCTAGGGTGTTTTTTCAGGGACTCACTGGGGATTTTTCTAGGAAAAGTGGACTAGGGATGTGAGTCAAGGTGGGAGTATCCCATGTCATCAAAATCGCCGAACTTTTACCGATTGATCGTGATTTTTACTAGAAAAGGTGATTAATAGCGATTTTTATGCTAGGTTTGCATAATGCGATAAATCGCACAATTAATAGCCGGTTTTTTT